ATATTATAAATGCGAAAGTAACTCTCTCAGCCATAGGACGTCCACTGCTGAACATAGGCCTCCCCCAATGCTTTCCATGCTGCCCGGTTGGTAGCGGTCTGCGTCCAGCGCCTTCCTGCATGCTTTACGATGTCGTCGGTCCACCTTGTGGGTGGACGTATCTACTCGTATATCGATGGCTAATTACATGTTTTACTAATGATATGAAGGAAATAATATCCATTGTCTCCAATTATTTCCGCAAACTAATAATAGAACATGAATAGTTTTTTTAGACTGAGTTGCACCATCTAACTTTAACCGTAACTATAACGATTTGTATGGAGTTTGACAGATTTTTGACGTTTGTTAAAGTTAAAGTAAGATGGCGCGGCCCAACCTTATTACTTAGTTAATTATTATCATGTAACCACATAATTATGTACGCTCTTAATTATATTTTAATTTGATAAACTTACAAGAATTCGTGAGAATTACTGAAGAAAGGGAAAAAAGTGCGAGTAAAAAAGACCCATTTGAAAGCCTTTCTAGATAAATGAAGTTATTATCTAAAACTAATATAAAATATGTTTTTAATTATTCATAATGATGAATTAAGCATAAAACATACAAAGACAGTTGAATTGAGAAACTTCCTTTATGAAGTCGGTAAAAAAATGCGTTCTATGTAATGACGTACTCTTTTCTATCCAATGCCAAAGCTGCAATACAACTTATTATTAATCTGTGGCAATACGAAGAAGAAGAAGAATAATCCAGAAACTACAGAAAAGTCTTACGCCATTATAAATTTCTCAATGATGCAACAACAACCAAACAACAATGAACTCCAAATTAAATAACAATGTAGAACAAGACTATAAATGAAATAATCCTTCTATAATAGACCGCGCTAGAACCATGTCTCACTAACTAAAGCAGACATCACGAAGTAAGTAGCACGGAGCGGCGCGGAATAGCAATGCGACAAGGTTTCAAAACTTATAATAGGGAGTCAAGTTGAAAGTCTTATATTAAATCTCTGTAGGCTCTTAGAACTGTCATTTCTTTGTCGATTGTCATAGTCTGTGCTTGTTTTTTTAACTGCAATCTGTTTTTAAGATATAATCCCTTGGCATAAAACTTTTTCATTCCGCCTTTTTTCTCTGGCCATTTTCTTTTTTCTTGAGCGCGGGAAATATTTTTCCTTGTCTGTGGTTTCGATTTTTTTTCAAAGGTGCGGCCTTGTTTTCTGAAATTTTGGTTTTGCATTTTTTTACGAGTGACAGTTTTTTATGTGATTGTGTTTTTTAATATTTTAGAAATCAAGTGGCGTGTGGAATATGCGAATAACTAGTTTTTTTTATTCGTTTTAAATAGTATCTTTGGAAAATTAAGGTGAGTGATTAATTGATTTATAATAAAATTTTATTTATTTTACATTGCAATTGCAACAGACCAGTGAGTCATTATTAACTTGCAAATATTTGATAGATTCATGAAATAAGCAACCAAATACGTAATACTACTCAAGTCGTGCGCCCAAACATAAAGGAATAAAAAGATTCATGCAACAGTTTTAGTTATTGTTGTTGTGACATTAATTTGAACTGATTTTTTAATTAACACAGATCGAAAGTGAATTACTTAGTGATATTATTAGTGACTGAGTTTCTTGCGCTGCTTCTTCTCAGCACTGGCCCATTTATTGTTCCGAAGCAGTGGTAGGGTTAATACTGGGACGTGTAAAAGTGCTTTTTAGCCTAATTGCATAAATAAATCTTATTTTTTTACTTTTTGTTAAAATTGTAATATTATACAAAATACTAATATTTTATTTACTCGTAATGTACCTACAGTCAGCGTCAAATACTTCGTGACACCGAAAGTAGCCAATAAGTTCGCTACACGTCTTTGTTATTATGTTAGAATAAGGTAGTGTTATCAAGTTTTTGGTCACTTTGGGACGTCCACTGCTGGACAAAGGCCTCCCCCAAGGATTTCCACAAAGATCGGTCTAGGCACCTCCCGTGACCTTCACCATTATCGTCGGTCCACCTAGTGAGAGGCCTGCCCATACTACGTCTTCCGGCTCTTGCTTGCCACTCGAGTCTTCTCAAGCGGCCATCAGCTCTGTGAGCTATATGCTGCGCCCACTGCCATTTGATTTTAGAGATTCTGCAGGCTATGTCACTTTGGGTGTCACGATCACGAACTATTTAATGCTGCCTGTACCTAAGCTAAATGACTTGTACCGAACGGGAATCGAACCAGGGACCTCTTGAATCACTAGAAGACATTTAAAGGCTTCTTGTAACGTAAATGTTTGAAACCTAAGAATATTATCATCATTAATTAATTAGGTCTTCCGCCAATTACCGTGTTCAGGATCATTCAGAATCTTACTCTATACCAAAAATCATCTAAATTAGTAGGTACATCTAGTATTGTATGCTAGAAGTCTTAGTAGTATATTCGAGAAAACGAAGCAGACAAGCATTTGAGTTAATTAATTTTGTGAGTAGTAAATGCTCCTAGTATTTAGGTAGTTCGTGGATCGTGTAATACTAATTGATTTGTATTGTTATTAATATTTCTGGCTAGTTAACCTATTAATTCGCAAGGGAAAGGGATTTACATCAAATCCACCAAAGAAATTCGATTTCCACTAAACACGTCGCTAATTCCCGCCATTTCCCACGGTTGGCGCGAAAACAATCGGTTGTCATGGCAACCAACATGGCGGCGGCACCGTTCTCAGGGGACAATGACGCAATCAAGATAACAAACACATTGTTCTGTTTTTTGCCGACAAACGCCGATAATTATTGGGATTTATGCAAACGTGATAGGATTTTAAAGAGGAGATAGGTACCAGAAGCGGTGAGCATGAATTTGATATCACCGTTCGTTCGTTAGTTCGTTTCAGCCGAAAGACGTCCACTGCTGGACAAAGGCCTCCCCCCAAGGATTTCCACAAAGACCGGTCCTGCGCCGCTCGCATCCAGGAACCTCACGCGACCTTCACCAGATCGTCGGTCCACCTAGTGGAAGGCCTGTCCACCACGCTACGTCTTTCAGCTCGTGATCGCCACTCAAGAACTTTCTTGCCCCAGCGGCCATCAGCTCTACGAGCTATGTGCCCTTCATTTATATTAATTTAATGCCACTAGGGCATTTTCTACCAATAGAGCACGAGCCGGAAGACGTAGAGAGGGCAGGCTTCCCACTAGGTGTACCGACGATCTGGTGAAGGTCGCGGGAGGTGCCTGGATACGGGCAGCGCAAGACCGGTCTTTGTGGAAATCCTTGGGGGAGGCCTTTATCCAGCAGTGGACGTCATTCGGCTTAAACTAACGAAGGGCATTCTCTGCCAGTTAATCGCTTGGCAGTGATCTAAAAGCGAAATAAATGAAAGAAAAGTAAAATATATAAAAACGATACATAGGCCCGGTCTCCACCAAAGCGGAACAGAGAAGTGTGTTGTGTCCGAAATATTCTAAATATTCATGAAAAAGTTTTCAAGCTATTAACCTTTTCAAGTTTGTTGGGACATGCCCTAGGAACTAGACGAGGCAAAATGGAGGATTTAGGAGACCTGATGTTTGCATATTCTACCTTAGTCGCCTTACAAGAAATTGATATTCCAAACAAAATGCTATTTTATTCCAATAATAAAAACTTCCAGGAAACACTCTCGTATTTCAAAAGATCAAGAAGTTCCGCTCAATCTTCTCAAATATCGATTTTGGAAACATTTCGTGGAATCTAAAAATATTTTCTTTTACTGATTTCGTCTTTTATAGGTTGAATGGCAGAAGGTTGCAAAAAGCGTGGTGCTAAATATACTTATTTATTTATACTTCAAAAGCAAGTTTTATTATTCTTTTGTACGAAATTGTGGGAAGTCACGAACAGTTTAAATCTAGAGCCTAAAAGATGAAGGGGTCCTGTGTCTAGAATCTAGAAAAATATATATGGTTTGGATAGCCTAATTATAGAGAAAGGCTTAGGCATATCACCCTAGAGCCAATAGGGGCGGAGCAGAAAAGAAAAATGTTGCAAAAATAGAAAATATTATTCAAACTGTTACACGCGTACGAAGTCGCAGGCACAGCTACATATCAAATCATGGATATCTCTATAGATACGTCTTCAAAAGCTTAAAGCCTTGACCGATTCCCCTAAAAACTTAAATGCTTACTTAATACAATGATGGTGGAATTTTCCCACATACTCTATCATTTTCTTAATTCCATGGTGCGCAGTGTATGAGATAGTGTCAATTATGGTGAATTCAATCTTAATTGGGACATCTGTGAATACTTTAAGATCTTAATTTACTTAGGCCACAGCCGTTATTACTTCATTCGAGTACATTTTTGTTAATTGACCCATTAACTTGAAAATGTAAGTACTTACTTCTGAGTATTTAAAATTAGTGACATGTTTTGTGTGATGAAGAAATAAGCGGTTATTATGGGTGCTTAGAAAATACTTACTTACATTATAAAGAAAATACGCATTAACTAGCTATACATATAATTAGTTGTATATGGTGTACAAAAGAATATAAAAAAGAGTACCTATCTATCTATGTGTGTAATTATTGAAGGAGGCTTGCTTAAGTGAAGCAGAAAATAGAATGCACAGCGTTGAATAGAGCTCTATGATTGGTTCGTATGTCACCTGTGCGTCCACGCGCACTGTGAGACCTCATAGTAATGTTTATGAATACAGGCCTCGAACACCACAGATTTTGTGCTGAAAATCCACCAATAAGAAGCCTATGACGAGATTGAATCAAGTTTTGGGCGTCTTTTTGTATGTAAAAAAACGAAGAGTTTGGATTCCTTCTTTTCGTGTCGACAACTAAAAACCTACACATTGTACCCAAAACTCCTCTACAAGTGGATTCTGTGACTGTTTCTTTGCGTTTCAGGCAATAAGTACAAGAAATCGCAAGAAGGAACTCAAAAATATCCCAAGTAAAAGTAGTTTATTCTTTTCAGATCCTCAAAATGTCACTAATATTCTTCGTGCTTCTCTTCTCTGGAGCGAAGACAGAAGAAGCCACGCCGTCTTCTCTCCTCAGTCCTCGGCACTTCAACCACCACGCCTTCGCTGCGAAGTATGGTCAGGACTTCAGGGTTCCTGAGACTACCAAGTGAGTTGATTAATATTGCAAAACATGCTCTACTGTCATAATAATCATCAGCATATTTAAACGGTCTTGTTGATATGCCGTTTAGGTTAGTGTCCGTAACTTCCACTCGGCCTGGGGCACACTGAAAACCAGCGTCGTGGCCTTCCCCACCGTGGGCCACGGCATAGGCTGAGTCATGAGAAAGGGTAGCACTGCTCAGTTCACTTTTTACTTCCTTGTAACATTTATGTGCTATTTCTGTCTTTATTTCCGTACACCTTCTTTGTCCTTAACTAGGTGAAGTTTCTTTATTTATTTCTTTCGTTCTTTATTTCTTTCTTTCTATTAAATAAACAGGAATCATACCGGGATAATTTCAGCCGAGGACATTCTGCTGAACTAAGGCCTCCGCCCAATAATTTTCATATTGCCCGGTTGGCAGCGGCCTGCATTTTTTGCCTTCCTGCTACCTTTGTGAGGTCATCTATCCACCTTGCGGGGGTGTGGACATCCCACATACCGTCATACATTTTTCTTTTTAGCACGAGTTTCTTTAATCTATACTTATATTATAAAGAGGTAAAGTTTGTGTGTTTATATATTTGTTAAATTGTAATCTCGTGATCTACTGAATCGATTTAAAAAAATATTTCACCAATAGAAAGCCACATTATTGCTGAGGGTCAGAGGTTATATAAAAACCGAAAAATTCCACGCGGGCGAAGCCACGGGTGGTAAGCTAGTTGCTTAATAATAAGGTCGGTAAATCGTAAGCATCCTTAGTAAGAGCTCTTTCAAATAAGGTATTTTGAGCGTTTCCAGAGCACACCTGTGTCAAACTTTATAAGCTCTATCTATACTCAATTTGTCTGACATGTGAATCATTTTTCCTCTATATTTTCAAAAGTTCCCTCACGGTTAAAATTATACAAAGCCCTCATGTCCCAGAGTGACACCAAACTTAAACTCTGACCTCCAGTTTAAAACGTTACAGATTAAGCCAAGTTCCTACCCAGATTGTGAATTAGCTAAGCCCTGTCCGATCCTGTAAGCCGGCTGACGCGGTAATCCGTGCCCAGATAGCCGGATATCGGACGAAAAGATTATTAAATCTATCTATCCTTGTAATAAAATACAGGAATACCGGGACAATGAACAAATTCCTTGCTTACATGTCGATTATGTAAATGTATATAACTCAAAGTTGACTGACTGACTGACTGACATAGTGATCTATCAACGCACAGCCCAGACCACTGGACGGACCGGGCTGAACGGCATGCAGGTAGATGTTATGACGTAGGCATCCGCTAAGAAAGGATTTTACGAAACTCCACCCCTAAGTGGGTAAAACGGGATCCACGCGTACGAAGTCGCGGGCGGCCGCTAGTTGTTAATAAAATAGGCTATTTTTTGTCTGCCTGCGCTCGATTTTAAATTCATATGAAATCAATGATTACTGGCTAATTGATTTTGGAAATCAGAATCTAGAGGTAATGTTTACAGGTATTTCCAATTTTTAATCACCTAATCTAAGAAGAAACGTTTTGCCAGCTCATAAAAATCGATCGATCCTTGACAAAAAAGGATAAATCTAATTTGTGACCACTAGAAGACAAAATATTTAATCGATTTATTAATTTTGTTACAGAAGTACACAATAATTATTTACTTATTCCTCAACAGAGTTTGTGAATTCGACATAAGTTTTTTTATGCATAACAAGGCTTAGAAGCTAAATAAATGCATTAAAATATACTCAGTATGTATTATTATTGGTAATGTAATTTTAATTAAAAGAACACAGCTCCTGCGTTAAATTGTAATTACTTTAACCCATTTCAAATTATGGCAATCAAATGACCGAATTACAACGGACATCGGTGTCGGGTTTCATTTAATTTGAATTCGTTATCGAAAGTATGTTAAAACAGAATAAATTGAAACCAAACGTGCGGGATTCGGTTAAACTGTTCAGTTAGTTTGGTCACAGCTAAGGGAATAACAGCCAATCCTGCAAAAAGTCTGAAAAATTCTCTAGCTAGGGGTCTCACGATCTCAGAGTAAAGTTTTAAGTACTTACGGGCAATTCACAAACGATACTTGCTTAAGTGAAGCAGCAAATCGACCGCACGGGGTTGAATAAAGCTCTGTGATTGGTTCGTGTGTCACCCTGTGCATCCACGCACACTGTGAGACCTCATAGTAACGTTTACGGGACTATTCCCACCTCTCTTACCCACCGCTGCAACTCCTGTGTAGCCAGGATCTACAGCTTGACCGCCAATAAAAACCCAACTAGTGAAGGTCAAGTTTGTCCCGGGGAAAGTAAACTGTCATCATAGTAACGTTTGTGAATATGGGCGTAAGTGTCATGGTTTCGTTACTATTACAATGAGTTATCCTACTTAACACTTTACTCAGAGATGGTGAACGATAAGCTTAAATACATTTTTTGGAACTTAAAAATTAGGAGAAGTACGAGTTTATATTCGGTATTAACACTTGTGTTTACAGACATAGGTCTCAGAATTGTTAAAATTAGGGACAGCAGGAGGGCACATAGCTTGTAGAACTGATGGCTCTTGGGGCAGAAAAGTTCTCGAGTGGCAACCACGTGCCGGAAGACGTATAGGGCGGCCTCCCACTAGGTGGACCTACGACCTGGTGAAGGTCACGGAAAGCACCTGGATGCGGGCCAGCGCAGGACCGGTCGGTCTGGAAATCCTTGGGGGAGGCCTTTGTCCAGCAGTGGACGTCATTTGATTAGCGATAGCTAATACTGTTCTGTTTTGACTGTGAACACCGTGGCCAGTATTTGATCTCGCCGCTAACCTTCTATTGATTTCCCATTAGGCTCTGGTAATTCGTACAGTACAAGGTTCAATTCCCGGCTAGAGTTTGTTGTTTCACTTCGTAATTACTTTCTTGCAGATGCGATGATAGCAGAACTGTTCGGATTAACAATATTATTGTTGTATTGAAAGTTGAAAATGTGGAGAACATTCCGTGAAATGTTGTATTTGAATTTTATTCAAACTTATTTATGAACTACCGAATTTTGTACCAACTACCGCTGCCGCTACCAACCGTGCGATGTGGAAGTCATCGGGGGAGGCCTATGTTCAGCAGTGGACGTCCTATGGCTGAAATGATTATATAATGATGATTAATTTTGTACCGCCTATGTTAATCAGAAATAGTGTAGAATGCTATACCATACATACATAAATGGTGAAAGAATTTTTCAAATCAGTCTAGTACTTTCGAAGCCAAAATACAAACTAAACAATCTAATCTTTCCTCTTTATAGGCTTATGATAGTTACAAGGTTATGCATTGTTTTGGGACACCCTGTATACTCGTAATATTAGTGTAGATGAGAGGTTTACGAGTAGTTTACTGTACGAGTACCTATGTATGAGGCTACCGAAACAGTATGAGATATGATAAGTTAGTTGAAGTCATAATGTGCGAATGTAATTTCCTTGTTGTGAACTTTATACACGAACTAGCTTTTGCCCGCGGCTTCACCCGCGTGAAATTTAATTTGTCACAGATCGTCATAAATTATAGCCTATATGCTATTCTGGGTTATAAAGAATAATACTGTAAAGTTTCATCAAAATCCGTTCAGTAGTTTTTGCGTCAAAGAATAACAAACATCCATCCAGACATCAAGACATCCAAACTTAGTTCGTTTCAACCGAAAGACGTCCACTGCTGGACAAAGGCTTCCCCTAAGGATTTCCACAAAGACCGGTCCTGCGCCGCTTGCATCCAGGTACCTCCCGCGACCTTCACCAGATCGTCGGTACACCTAGTGGGAGGCCTGCCCACGCTACGTCTTCCAGCTCGTGGTCGCCACTCAAAAACTTTCCTGCCCCAGCGGCCATCAGCTCTTCGAGCTATGTGCCCATCCAAACTTACGCATTTATAATATTAGTAGGATTACGGTCTGCTATTGAATCTACGAAGTCCTTGGACAGTTTATGCTAGTCGCAAATAAGCAAAACTTGTGATATGTGTAAACATACTTATTTTGTAAGTCATCATCATCAGGTCATTTAGTTTCCACTGCAGGAGTACGACCCTCTCTTATTTACCAGATGTAAATGAAGGATTTGACCAACACTCCCTACGCTGGCCAGCGGGCTGGGAGACCTGATGTTCGCATATTTGTCCCTTAGACCTTCAAGTACAAGGAGAAATTCAATGGAAATCAATTGTAACCGCGGTCTCATGCGACTACTTAGGGTTCCACGAGTTAGTCACCTTTTGCAACATCCAGCAACCACCGGTCGTCGTTTCAGCTGAATGACGTCCATTGCCGGACAAAGGCCTCCCCCAAAGATTTCCATAACGGTCCTCCACCGCCCGCATTGGTGGTTCTGATGTCTTTGACCCCAAGAATTTGCCTCACAACCCAGCTCTAGTCTAATTGATTTTGAATTAGTACGCCGACTAAGACGTTAAAATTAATTATAGTTGAAACGTCTAAATGATTTACCCCAAGCCTCCAACACTGGAACAACACACGAATGGCGAATGCGCTATAATTTGTAATGACTGTAGCATATTCAACGACATAATATAATTCAGAGCTAAAATCGATACGAGGATAGGGATGGGGCTTAATAGGAGGGATTACCTAGTTTTTGGCTTTGAGTGACGGAAATACGAGTACTAGGTACGAGTAATCGAGTATGTTGCGATGCATTAAATGCAAAGTATCTTTCGTTTGTATTTATTGAAGGTAGGGCTTGTTCTAAGTCCACCTGGCTAGGTACTACCTTCTTTGTAGTTGAGGATTCCGGCTCGATTCCACCTTCGGCCTGATCATTACCTTTCATAGAAGGTACAATAGATAGCATACTAGTTTGTTCCGGCGTTTCTTCTCAGCACTTGTCATATGTTTGTCTCGAAGCGCTGGTAGGGCCCAAAAGATAAGGAGACATGTAAAGTGCCCCATAAGGGCTACCTTTTCTTTTTTTATATTAAGTACCACTTGTGGTCTAAACTGAATAAATATTTTTGATTTTGATTTTGATTGAGTGTGATTTTTACTAGTGTGACAGTGTAGAACTGTAGAAGATGAGCAAAAAACCATTGTGTTTCGTGATTCGAACGTAGCGATGTCACTGGGACAGGGTTCCGTATAGACTTCAGACGCAGGTCGGCCGTAGTAAGGACAATCTGGTCAGGTGGGGATTCTTGGATGTCTCAAACTTGGAGTGCAAAAGTGGTTTTGTTCCCAGTCGACGAAGCACATGATGTCGTGCCCTGCATGCCCAAATAACTGCACGGAGGAAGAGTGACAGCGCCACTCTTGTGGCGGAGTTTTGGGCTGACGCTGTGTAGGTTTGTGTCGACACGACAAGAAGAAGAAAGCGTTCCGTATTGCTTTATTAATTTCGAGAATGTTGGTTTAAAAAAAAAACTAGTGTTCATCAATAAAAAATAAAAACTTTGCCTAACTATATGTACCACACGCCCCAGTGGAAGTACTTATATATCGATTTGTTTTTATGGGATTGTAACCTGTTCCCAAAATACGTTGCCCCTCACTACGGCCCTCGCAGTGTATTTAAAGCAAACAGGAATTGCATGGAGCACATCAAGAAAGTTCTCCCAGAGTTCAACTCGAAATCTAACCCTAATTTCGTTGTTTAGCGGAAACGTTAAAGCGCTAGAAACTGCATGCGTCAAGTCTATCCTGTGTAATTAATAAACTTCAGCGGCTGATAATAACTAAACTAGTTTCTAGACTCACAGACAGTTTGGATAAATTATAGCCTTTGTACTAATATTCTGGTGTAGCATTGTAAGTACTTTTTAGGCAGGTATTTGACCGCAATCGCACCTGATGTTAAGTCAGATGCAGTCTAGGATGCTACATATCTGCCCTGTAAGTGCCTATTCACTCTCGCCCTGAAAAGGCTCGCATTATAAATGTTCGGGAAAGATTATCCCACTTTTAATTTTTACTGTTACTACAGTAAAGTACTGGAAAGGTACTCGTAAAGGTAGCAGGCGCTGGATACAGGCCGCTCACAACTGGGTGATGAGGAAATCATTGGTAGATGCCTATGTTCAGCAGTGGACGTCCTGTGGCTGAAATGATGATGCTGCAAGTTTTAGTAAAATTGTTTAGCGCTTCTAAATAACAAATTTTTGTTTAGAAAAAATCGTGAGAAGAGCGCTGGTAAAGCAAAAATCGTGAGAAATTTAAGAGCTCTATCTTATAGAGTTCTTGCATTGACGATTTTGAGGTGCTAATTCATTTATTCCAAACTAAGTAGATTTGATTTGCTACAAATATTTTTCTCTCTTCCCAGGCAAGGCCCAGTGCTGTTCCCTAACGACGCGCCGCCACCACCCCGGCCACCCCTCATCGTGACCTCCCGTCCCCTCCTGGAGTCGATAGCCAGGAGTGACCTGAACACCGACCCTCAGAACAACACCATTCCCCAGGGAACCCAGATCAGCTCCATCATCAAGCCCTTCCTGGCCAGGGTGAAGGATTACCGGCCCTTCGCGTATGCGATAGCCACGCCGCCGACCCAGGACTATGATTATGAGAGATATGATGATTATGAGGTGAGTTTTGTTTTATCTGATAGCTTTAGCAGACCAGTAGGTCTAAGATGCGCACCGCGATAAGCAGTTATCACGCCATTTTATCGATTTTGCCCATACATTTTGACGTTGATAAAAGTTATCACGGTGCGCATCTTAGGCCTACTGGCCATCATATGAATGCAGCAGGAAGGCGCTGAATGCAAGCTGCTACCATTCGGTGAATCTGGTAATCATTGGGGGAAGCCTGTGTTCATTGTTCAGCAGTAGATGTTCTGGAGGCTGAAATGCATAAAATAGCTCACACTTCAAAAATCTATTTCATGTAGCTATGAAGGTAAATAATCAATTTTTAAAATTACTAATTAGACAGACGCGTAAATGCCACCTGCATGAATTAAAAGTCTCACACTAACATTTGGCTCTGGCGGGAATCGACCACCGACTCTTTAATTTTAGCAATAATATGTGACTAAAGCCCGGTCTGTGAGCACGTAGAATTTTGTCCAATGACCCCAAGCTACCCATCCTTATCGCTTGGGGTTATTGGACAAAATTCTACGTGCTCGCAGACCAGAGCCCCGATTACGGTAATTTTTAACGTCAACAATCCAGACACGCTTCTCGATTCTGCGATACGATTGGTCGTTCAACAGCGTACGTCAGCTGTTTTGACCAATCGTATTGCAAAATCAGAAACGCGTCTAGATTGTAGACGTTAAAAGTTACCGTAATCGGGGCTCAGACTATAGTATTTAAAAGATGATAATAATATTCCTGAAACACGATTACTTCAGATTCCTTTTATTTATTTCTGCCTCTGTTTTGAATACCTTTTAAGTACAAACTGGAACTGACTTTTTGCGAAGTTGCGACCCCCAAAACAAATCCCGGTGGACATCCTGCAAAGCTACAGTATTAACTCTAATCCGGGCTCCATTACAAATTCATAGGTATTAATTTAAGTCCATCGGAGTACTAGACAAGTTAAGTTCGTAGACACCTCTTTTTAAGGGTGAAGGTGACAACAATAAATAAACAACCGATTTGCTTATACTCGTAAATCATCATCATCGCAGCCATAGGACGTCCACTGCTGAACATAGGCCTCCCCCAATGCTTTCCATGTTACCCGGTTGGTAGCGGCCTGCGTCCAGCGTCTTCCTGCTACCTTTACGATGTCGCCGGTCCACCTAGTGGGTGGACGTCAAACGCTGCGTTTTCCGGTACGCGGATATGTTTGTATTTTCTGATGTGCCCTTGACTGTTCATAATATTTATTACCAGGTACTTTTACTTATTAAGCTTTCTTCTGAGTCTATAGCCCACAGTGGTCTGTGATCGGAACGCATCAAAATTCATAGTCCCACGGTGGCTGCTATTTAGCATTTGCTTAACAAAATACTTCAGAGGTAGTTTTTGTAATTATGAATAAACAATCTGGTATTAATATCGTTCAGTACCTATCGAACGTATACCGTAGACAGACAGTTTACGAGTATATTCAGATTTAATGAAAACATTACATATTATAATTTGTCGGCCGTTTAATGTAGTGGTTCGAAACGGACAACTATCCCGGAGGTAGCGGGTTCGATTCCCGCACAGTACAAACATTTGTGTGCATGAACATAGGTATTTGTTTGTATTGGACTTGGTGTTTTCTATGTATAATAAGTATGTATTTACAAAAAAAAGTATCGAAGTATGTTTATATCCGTTTTCTAGTACCCATAGTACAAGCTTTGCTTAGTTTGGGACTAGAAGCGCAGTGTAAAATGTCCAAGGATATTTATTTATGTTATTTATTATTACAATAATTTTTATCCTGATTTTTGAAACACGGTCACGAAAATTTCTTTTTATAACAGATCGAAATGCACGAGAGCGAAGCCACAGGCCAAAGCTTGTAGTTCATCATCATCATTTCAGCCACAGAACGTCCACTGGTGAACAATGAACATAGGTCTCCCCAATGATATCCATATTGACCGGTTGGTAGCGGTTTGCATCCAGCGCCCTCCTGCTACCTTTATGCGGTCATCCGTCCGCCTCGTGAGTGGTCATCACACTTTATCTCATTGGGATTCAATCCCGCAATTATAGCTAGCTTTGAATGTGAACCACCAGACAATCCAGTCATTATAATAACGCGTCTCTGAACGCGTGTTGTGTCTACATTGTCTACTGCTTGATACCAGAGTAAATACAAATGAGTAGGTCATCTTCATAGAAACGCACCGAGCGCGCCACACACTCACAAAATTCAGCGCACCTCACCGCTAATCCACGCTAAATTTTGTCAGTAGGTATGTGCGTGCGCGCCGCATACGTATTGGCGCGCTCACATACAAACCGCGCTCGGTGCGTTTCTATGAAGATGACCTACTCATTTGTATTTACTCTGTTGATACCGTCATGCAGTAGACAATATAGACAACACAATCGCTCTATTAGTCGACTGTCCAGACCGAGTCGTGTAATGTAGGCTAGACAGACCTAAGCTAGCTCACTGGCTTGCGATCTTAGCAGAATGGAGTGGGGCCACTAAACCGGCAGATTGATCAGTCATTGAGCTCACCATGAGTTTATACTACGCATACTCTGTGGCCTGATTGTGAATATAAATTACGGTTATAAAGTGATTTCGTGCTTTAGCATGATAAACCGTCTGTCTGATTAATTTCATATTTTTGGATCTCTGTCGTTCCTGCTAGCATCTCCATTCGAAACTTTCGAATGAAACTAGATAGTCATTAACGAATACTGATGGCATTACCCTATTCGAGAATAATCTAAAATATTAGCGATGATACAAATTTCATGTGATTAAATACACTTGAGCGAGACAAAACACAAATGCTTACTACCGACTAGAAGGAACAATCATTAATCTATATCTATACCATAGAGTTAGACCATTAAATATTGTGTTGATACGACTTGCCTCACTACACTTCGGCGGCTCATGAAGTATAAACACCGAATTTGTGTCCCTAAACGTTACAAACCACCAACTAAAAGAGACTTCGGAACGATCTATCTTGGTGATTTTTAAGAAAAAATATTCCCTAGTTCTCTCTCCTTTCGTGGCCCGCCCCATACAAGCGGTTGTATGATACAATTTTTCCCCATTCAAAGCTATGATTGATGAACGCGTATTGTTCGCGAACAGGTGTTCCTTTGCCATTGTAAGTTGCGTGCTTATTAATGATTAGCCCTAGTTTTGGTGGGAAATATATCCCCACGATTGATGGTTCAAGGAAATCTATGATACGAAAAACAATCGCTTTCTGGTAGGATTTTATAGAAAAACTGGTAGTTTCTCCTTTGTTTTGTCACCTGTCTTCCGCTTTGTACTAGAGGGAAGTCGAACTTTAACTTCGAACTCCTCTTATATTCTTCTGATTAATTTCGTTGCGGGTCCAATGACAGTTTAACTTTCCGCCGCGACAAACTCGGCCTTCACTGGTTGGGTTTTTATTGGCAGTCAAGCTGTAGATCCTGGCTATACAGGAGTTGCAGCGGTGGGAACGAGAGGTGGTAATAGTCCCGTAATTTCTCCTTCTGATGCATGGAAAGTTATGTAGTCTTTGTCTCTACTACAGGAGCACGATTCTCTCTATTTAAAAAAAAGCAATAATGAGGGCACATATCTCGTAGATATGGTGGCGACCACGGAAGACGTAATGTGGGCAGCCCCCCACTAGGTGGACCGACGATCTAGTGAAGCGTCTGCATGCGGGTAGCGCAGGACCGGTTGTTGTGGAAATCCTTGGGGGAGGCCTTTGTCCATCGTGGACGTCATTTCGGTGAAACGAATAATGAAGGATTTGACTCTCAATCCCCACAATCTAAGGCTGCTAATATAATACATTTTTTGTGTAATTGAACATAATAAGGATATTATCTCTTACAGCACCAGAAACCAGTGCTGCCGCCGATCTACAAAGCTATAGCTGACCACGCCAAGCAGAAGGTCGTCAAGATACAGCAGCAGAGGCAGAAGGATCGGTATGAGTACCAGGTAATGTATCTCTATACCAAAATTCATAAACATTTGTTGGTCGAATGGTATGGTGGTGAATTTTCGGAAATCTTTGAATGCTTTCTTTTTAAAAATGAAGAAATGTTTTCTTTAAGTAAAATTTCCTATCTACAGTATTAGTAGCTCTCTCCCTTTGTCTTTCAGGTAGAATTACAAAATTCCACCCTGTATAACACATGTATTATTTTTAAGTTTTTTTATCATTTGTCTGGTGCCTATCGTGGTACAATTTTTAAGTAATGTACAATGTTTTTGACCAGCAGGTTAAGACTCCCGATTACTACAATCATCATCATAAGAGCAATGATATTAACAGTCATGATGAAAGTGATGGTAATGATGAGCAGGTAAATATTACATAAACAACTTCAATTTATGTATAAGTAGATCGCTTGAAGCAGCTGGATGCGCATAACATTGGGCCGGTCGTTGTGAAAATCTTTGGAGAAGCCTTTGTCCAACAGTGGACGTCCTGCTAATACGAATAATATTTTTGAAATTTGCAATGACACCTCTAGTTTACCATACCATACCATTTTCTTAAATTTTTTTACATTGTAAATTCATAATATTTATGACATTCTCTTTTAATTAACTTTTGGACCGAACGTTAATAGCGTACTTTATTATTGTTATTTGTTCTTTATGTTAAAATTCCACCACTAACTAAAGTTTCTACTATTCCCAGAACAAAAACTACGCGTTCTCATACCGTGTGAAAGACCAGAAGACTGGCGACGACTTCTCTCACCGACAACACAGTAAAGGGTCGGCCACCAACGGAGAGTACCGGGTTCGACTCCCAGACGGACGCATGCAGATTGTTTCCTACACAGCCGACGAAAATGGCTACCAGGCTGATGTCAGATACGACGACGAAGACAAAACCTCTGGCAACAGCATAGACAATAACAAACATAACTATATTTATAACCAAAATGATAATTATCAGCATAATAATAAAATAAACGATCATCACAACTTTGACGATCACCAAACATACGACAGACACAATTACGATTACAAACACAATGATTACGACAAAAACAAATACGATCGTGATTACAGTCAGCAAAGTGATTACAAAGCTGATTACAGAACTGATGTGAAGAGTCCAAGCAATGATTATTATAATCAATACTCTGACGGGTCTAAAGAGTATTATAATGATGATTTCTCTAAAGAGTTCGAAAGCAAAAGTTACGATTATGCCCCACACAAAAGCAAATTCTCTTCTTTCATTGAAGACCAAAATACTAATGTTAACCAAAACTTAAATATAGGATCAGTATCTACAGTTAAACCTTCTTACGAAGAACTAAAAGACTTACTAGTAACCAAAAATGCATACAATACAGTACAGCCATCATATTTTACCAGAGCACCAGTTTCAATAAACGTACCATCCACCACACCTAGTTCTTTAAACTTTGGTTCTACCACAGAAAGGGTTGTTTTAATAGGCGGTAAAAAGACTAATTTCTATACAAATATTAGGAACGTGCCCCTAGTAAGCACTGTTCCAGTATCAGTGACAGAATCACCTGTGAAATATGGAACAGCTAGTGATTTTTCGGTCTCGCCGACGCCAATGAGTTACTTAGTATCAACTATAGCTAGTTTGAGAAATAGAGTTGACTTATCTGGACCGAAACCGGTTTTGTCTAACAGTTATATTGATAGAATTAATAAATATTTAACTTTTAACAAATAATTTGGAAGTTTAGAAGAAAATATTTCGCAGTTTAGAGTCAATAGGCTTGTTTTTTGCGGGATAAAGTAATGCAGGATCTTACAAAACGGGACTTCCATTCCATGTGACACATGTTTGAAATTCGAATTACAATTTGGAACAAATCGGTTTTTTTGCGGGACACTGCAAACTGGATGTTCGTGTGAACTGTGAACGTTAATATTATAAAAAAACAAATCCTGCAAAAAACGGGATGTCTCCGTGAGAACGAGCCCTAATCTAAATGGATTTTTTAATTAATTGCTATGTGTGCTATAACTTATTTTCGATTGCTAATTTTGTATATTGTAGGTAAGTAATAGATAGTAGGGTAGGTATTTCCTTCAATTGATCGTGTAGGTTAAATGAAGTACGAGTAAGTACGTTCAAACCTTGGTACTTTTCTGACCAATTTTTTCCCTGATTTTCTTTTTCAAGGATGTTTCTCAAGGGGATTTCTTATTTTTCTTTTCTATCATTTATATCTTTTCTAACCTAGAGTCATCCTACGCTAAAAAATAAACTTTCTTTAAATTAAAACCAAAACTGTAATGGGTGACTTGTCTAGAGTCTAGACTAAAGGCTCAAGTCTTAAAGTCAGTTGAATTACAATATTCTACACGCTTTTGAGTGTATTACTTGAGTGTAACTTGATAATACGATCCTAAGAGCCTTAGGCTTTGACATGGCTCAATAGGACAGACGACTTAAGTTGCCTGCCAGTTTAGCTTCATATTTCTTTTTCTTATTTACAAATCTTTTATTCAGTACTTAGGCCCGTTCCAGGGCACTTATACACGTCCCAAATATAGCTTGCCCTACCACAACTTCGGGACAACATTATGGGCTGGTGCAGAGAAGAAGTGGCGGAAGAAACTCGGTCACCTCTTTTTCAATTAAATTCAGGTTTATTCAAGCATTGTCCTAAATAAGTAGGAGCAAATACATACAAAAGTGACTTTCCAAATGTCCCATCTGGGAATCGATCTAAGAACATCTGAGTTAAGTGAGTTCAACCACTCAACATATTCTAACCCTTGATCAAAGACGTTCGTAAAATACTTAGAATGATGCTTTTCTATAATTAATTATTTAGTTTTAAGGAAGTTTAACCAATTAAATTAATTTAACATGCATAAGAATTGTAAGTAGTATTGTACCTAGATAATAATTTGAATGTCTGTATGACTATGAGTTACCAAAATGTAGTTATTGTCAGTTTAATTAGCTATTTCTTAGTCAATTTTCTTATTGTGTAAGTAACTATAGTTTTATTGGAATGTAAGCTGTAAATATTTCACGCATTAAATATTTTTTAGTAAAAAGTTTTTGTATTTTCGCTGTATTTTGGGTTCAAAGAAAGTATTATTCATATCATCATCTCAGCCATAGGACGTCCACTGCTGAACATAGGCCTCCCCCAATGCTTTCCATGTTGCCCGGTTGGTAGCGGCCTGCGTCCAGCGCCTTCCTGCTACCTTTATGATGTCGTCGGTCCACCTTATGGATGTATTATTGATTTTTTTTCGATTTGGCTGTTGTTAACTACTTACATTGAACTTTCCTCATAGAAAAATAGTATATAAAACATTAAAATTTGTATCGAGAAGTTTTCTTATACAAAAAATTTATTATGAATGCATTAGTATCCAAAACCTGATTATTTTTTACTTGAAAAATAAAACCCTCCTTTGGACTCGAATTCACCATCTATTACGAGTATAGCATCTTACCACTGAGTCACAAAGACAATCGAAAGGAAAAAAGATTTCTTTTGATGATTAAAATTTATGTTATTTAGGGTAGGTTCCAAAGACGTCCACTGCTGGACAAAGGCCTTCCCCAAGGATTTCCACAAAGACCATTAAGGTAGTTAGGTATTAATATTTAATTAAATAAAACTCTTATTAAATTAAATATCCAATATATTTAAAAAAATGCAGTAAACAGTCTCTTATTTGACTAACTAGTCCACTCGCGAGTTGCGCAGTCTCATGTCGCAGGTTGATATTTCGAATTTTGAAAAAAGAACGGACGCCATCTTTTCAAGTTTTCGCTTCAATAAACGTCAGTGTCGTTTGAGAGGCCTTGATGTCTTGCAATGTGTCGCAATTTTATAATTTAGGTAATTTTATGAAATTGTGAGTGTAGTTAGGTTTGTTTTAGTGAAATAGTGTAGAAGTGATTAGTGAATAAGTGAGCAGTTTTCAAGGACTTTCTTCGTGGTTGGAGTAATGTAAGTACTTTTCTTTACATTTACTTTGATATCAACAAAGGTTTTATTTTATTTTAATTATTGTAGATTGTCAATGTGAATGGTGAATGGTGCAAGTAGGACTTAAACTATGCTAGTTAATTACTAATTGATCGAGACGTGTAAGTAGTGTAAACACTTTCGCCGTGCGTCGCCCATACTTCGTGTGTATGCTCGCACCATAGGTTAACTGTAAGAAAATGAATTTTCATCTGTACTACGAGTTTGTTTTAAACGTTTTTAACGATATTGGCATGTACCAATTTCAGTATCATTTTCAACCATTATTTTACAACAAAACTGAATATTTAATACACAGTCATAAATTAGTTTTATTTAGAGTTTATAAAAACCTCAGAGAGAAATACCGCTTTTTTGTAATATCCAGGCGTAGTAGGTAAATGAGATATTTTTTGTGGAATACGGCTAGGATATCGAGGATTGGGATTATATGGTTAAATCTGGAAACTAGGTCGTATTTTAATATCTTTATTAGGTTTTTCGAATTAATATTCAGCCTCATATAATGTAGGTCGTACGTTTACAGATACTACATAATAAGAGAGGTTATTTATTTAAATTGTTAACAAACACATTTTGTTGTTTAGGTTATACCTAATGTTTTTCCAATTTAAAATTTAAAAAATAAATACATTTTAATCTGCTTGTTGTAAAATAGCGACAAGTCCGCTTTTTTATCGAGTTAGCTACTAGCTGTTTCCTAGAGGTCGTCGGTCCACCAAGCGCTTCCAGTCCCAATTTTTTTAAATACAAATTTTCCTGCTAAGTATGGCCCCGCCCTTACCTCATGTTTGCTTTTTTATGAACTTAGGTAGGTATTACTTGAGTTTTTATCCTCGAGGTCGTCGGTCCATCAAGCAGCTTCCTACCACAAGTTTTAAAAACCAAATTTTCCCTTGCCCTTCTACTAATTACCTAAAATCTCTTACCAAAACTAAACTACTAGCATAATCCGCCATTAAAGTAAGTAGGTACCTAGTTCGTTCAAGCTCATAAAAGCTAGTTTGGTATAAAATTGCAAGTATATAGTTGTCTATCGAGATAAGTTCGGAGCCTCTGCGGTCTATGGGCTGTCGATTATTGCCGACGATTCTTGTAGGGACGCCAACTAAATTGTCGATATCGATACAAATATTACTCCAGTACTGGGCGTAGCAGAGACTAGCTAAAATACGGTGAGGTGACCACGGCTAGAGTACCTTCTGTACTCGCCACTCTGCCCGGTGAAGCTGGAAAAGCTCTTCAAGCTTCAAGCGCGTCCCTTAAAAAAAATAAAAAATGTGTAAGCCATTGGCAGATTCTAATGGTTTTCATTTGTTTGATTCTCTTGACCCTTAACTAAGTAAAATAATGAAACTGAATGTTGTCAATCGATATTAATTATTAGTTATATTATAGCAATTGGTATTTAGTACAGGTGTGAATGAAAGAGCGATCGAATGTAGAAACATTTTAAAATGTATTAATTCTTAGGCAAAGTTGATGACAATCTTAAGCTTTCTGAAATTATAACAATGTTACAAGTTATTGACACAGTTTCATTCAAATATAATTAANAGTCGGACAGCATTGGGGGAAGTACATCCGATCCCTTAAGAAACATTAACACAAGACGCATGAAGCGGAAATATGAATCTGAACTAGTTTCTTTCATGGACGAAGTACGTTCTATGTTCGAGAATTTTGTAACGGAACAAAACACCAAACTTCATAGAGTGGAGACCTCCTTGTCTGAAATAAAAGCTCAAAATGATAGCATGAGTTCATCAATGAACTTTTTATCCCTCAAATACGATGAAATACAAAAGGAATTGGAGTGCATGAAAAACGAACGTAAAGACCAGAATACCTATATTAAACAGTTGGAAAGTAAAATTGATTACTTGGAGAGACAGTCTTATGCTTCCAGAATAGAAATTAGGAGTATTCCTAAACTCCCGAACGAGTCTAAACAAGAGCTATATAATTTTACGAGAGACGTATGCAAGGCCGTGAGTTTGGATATACAACCTTCAGACATTAGAGATGTCTACAGACCACCTTCAAAAGTGAACACCGTCGCACCAATAGTGGTAGACTTTACTTCTGTGATCAAAAAGGAAACAGTTGTCCATAGTTTTAAAAAAATGAGCAGGAAAGAGAAAGAAGATAAGTTGAACACACGAATTATTGGTCGTCAGGGCCCGCACAAACCAATCTTCGTCTCCGACCATCTCACACCTAAATGTAGGCGTTTATTTTACCTTGCACGGGACTTTGCAAGAATACACGACTTCAGCTTCTGCTGGACATCTTTCGGGAAAGTATATCTTCGCAAGAGAGAGGGGTCACCACACCTGCGAATCGAGGAAGAGACTGACCTAGTTAAGCTGCAGAAGACGACACCCACGTCCAAGTGACTATGTCTCGTTATTTTAATTTTAATTTTTTCTATTTATTTTTGCGACTGCTTTGTCCTTTATAACGCAAAGTGGAATTTTAATTTTAATAGTTTTCTCGATATAGCTTTAAATTTTTTTCTTTATTTAATATGGCTTTTAGCCCAAAATTCTATATTTTTTATTAAAAGTTTGATGCTTCATAAAGGAAACACTAATATAAATTTTATCAAATATTTCACGTACACTTTTACACTACACTTATACATGCTCACACTTACGACACAATTATCACATGATTTTCAGTTATCTAAAATTGCAAAACAAACTAAGTTTTTTATGATGGTATCTAAAACTTTAAAATACTTTTATCGTAATACATATTATTATTGTGTTAATCTAGGCTCTGAAATAACTTTTGCTGTGGTTAAACCAACTCTACTGACTTCTAGCCGCCTTACTTGTTCTTGTACGATCCGTTACTTTATTAAACACTTGTTTGTTCTATTGGATCATATGAATTTCAAAAATAAAAATGCCTGAACAAACTCATAACTATATAGAGACCCAAAGACGTGGCCATATCAACTTAGGCGAGGAGCTGGACAGATTTGCTACACCAAAAGCAGTCCTATGTAGCCCCGAGCAGTCGATGCTTTATATAAAACAACCATCAGACTCATTTAAAATACTTACACAAAACATTCGATCAATAAATAAAAACTATCATAATTTTGAAACACTCACTGCGCGTATCCCATTTGAATGTGACGTTTTTGTTTTGACAGAGTGCTGGTTACCATGCCTCAGTAATACATATATTCCAACTCCACTTAACTACACACTACATAAAACCTCAACCCACCTCAACCAAAGTGATGGAGTTGTTGTCTTCGTTAAATCAAATCTCTGTACAAGTCTGGAAGAGCCCGATTTTCAGTCCTCCGCCTCTGGCTTGATCGTAAAAATCAACTCGGACCTAGCCATCTTATGTGTTTATCGCTCTCCTTCTAACAAAAATATTGACACCTTTATCACATCTCTCTATACAATATTAGTTGGTTTAGCTAAATACAAATCAGTTATACTTGCAGGAGACTTAAACATAGACATAAAACCGACATCAACAGACTCCCGCCAGCACGATTATTTAAACTGCCTCGCTTTTCACGGTCTCCTACCGGCTCACACTCTTCCAACCAGAGAGAACAATTGTCTGGACCACATCTTTATCCGCACGAACCTCCCATCTACTACACTTATTTTAGACTCCACGATCACCGACCACTACTCCTCATTGCTCTCCATTAAAAATAAACCCCACAGGATGAATATTGACAAAACTATTACCAAAATTAATTATGCTACTCTAGATGAAACTTTCAAAAACATCGACTTCTCGGCTATTCTTAAATCTGACGACCCTGAAATGACTACCAACGAATTTATTAATATAATCTCAAGCGCCATAAAAAGTAATAGCTCCAAAATAAAAATTTCTTCTCGGAGAACGATAATCAAGCCGTGGATCACTCCAGGCTTATTGCGGTGCATGAGGACTAGAGACAAACTTCATAAAAAACATATGAAATCACCTGAAAACGATGTTATTAGGTTAACCTATACCAGATATCGTAATTTT